ATTGTAGGGTACCGTATAGTAGTGTATCATATTGTAGAGAACCGTATCATATCATATTGTATCATAGGGTACCGTATAGTAGTGTATCATATCGTAGAGAACCGTATCATATCATATTGTATCATAGGGTAAAGTATCGTATAGTAGTGTATCGTATCGTAGAGAACCATATTATACCATAGTGTGTCTTATTGCATTGTATCATATCGTAGTGCATCGCATCGTATCATATCATAGGGTACCATATTGTATCGTATAGTAGTGTATTGTATTATAGGGTACCYTATCATATCGTATAGTAGTGTATCGTATCGTAGAAATACTGCAGAAAGACGAAGTTGAAGGAGTTGGTCTCTTTTAATGTTTTAGGGCCATTCTTAATCAGTTTGTACTTAAGACATTTCTTTGTAAACGCTTTGACTGATTTTGTACTCTATTTTAGTCCTATCTTATCTTTTATGAGTGTTTCTTGTTTTTCTTTTAGTTATCATGAAGTATTTGATTGTAGTTTAACATTTGTAGTTTTGAATTTTGTAATGTCTGTGTGCTGCTGCTGTTCTTGGCCAGGTCTCTCTTGGAAAAGAGATTTTTAATCTCAYTGAGATCTACCTGGTTAAATAAAGGTTAAATAGATAAAATATAAAAGTAGAGAACCATATCATTTCGTATTGTATTGTATTGCCTTGTATCGTATCGTAGTGTATCGCATCACATCACATCATTTCGTATCGTATCATAGGGTACCGTATCATATAGTAGTGTATCGTATTGGATCCTATCTTATTGTATTGTATTGTATTGTAGTGTATCATATTGTAGTGTATCATATCGTATTGTATCATAGGGTACCNGTCCTCTCGTCAGGCCTGTCCGAGGCCTGCTTCGAGGCAGTAAATCTTGTTTCTTCACTCGAGGTGACCCCTACACTGACAAACTGATGTTTATTAGGAAATACTGATCCAACCGTCTACACCTGGGGTGTCAAACTCGTTGTTACAGAGGGCCACATGAGCATCATGGCAGAGTTGTAATGTAACTAAGTACAAATACTTTGTTACTATACTTAAGTAGAATTTTTGGTTATCTGTACTTTACTTGAGTAATTATTTTTCAGTGTACTTTTTACTTTTACTCATTACATTTTTACACAATCATCTGTACTTTCTACTCACTACATTTTTAAAAAGGTAAGAAGTAGAAAGTCGTTACTCCTATTTTATTCCGAGTTGTTATTACTTAAAAAAAATACTATCCTGATAAATAGTGTCTCCTGGATAGAGTGAATTTAATTGTGGTTGGATGAGAAGTATAAATATATAACAGAGCTATTCAACTAAATTGCTCCGGGGCCACAGTTACTGCAGACCAACAGCTCAGGGGCCGAACATCCAGCAATTAAAGTTATGTAAATAAACTAAGTATTACAAAGATCTGTTACCTTTGAAATATTTTATTTTGCTGTACTTAATCATGAAAACATACAGAACCCTATTTAATAAATGTAGTGATGATAAAACTAACAAAAAGGAAACATATTATGCCTCTAATTTACCACAAAATATTTTTTACATCTCTGACTTGCCAAATTTTTAAACCAGTTTTAGTATTAACTGTCTTGGATGTTCATATAAATGGTTTTTACCAGTTTGTAGCCAAGATTCTGACACTTCTATACATACCAAACATGTCTATGTTTAGCTAAAAGAACTTAAAGTAATTAAAGTCAAAAACKGGGGATTTGGGCTGAAGAGATAAGTGAACCAATTGGCGGGCCGAACTTTGGTCATTCGCGGGCCATATCCGGCCTGCGGGCCGCCAGTTGAATAGCCCTGAATAGCATTCTGACACCCTATTAGCTTGTACACAACCCATCACAGCTGCACGCTGTTAGAAAATATATTTTTTGGAGAAGTCACCTCCCAATAAATGTCATTTTGGAAAATCTAACTGCTCACTTTTACTCAGTACTTTTACTTTTGATACTTATGTAGATTTTGTGTCAGAAATTTACTTTTGATACTTAAGTACAAAAAATATCAGATACTTTAAGACTTTTACTCAAGTAATATTCCTAAAAGAGACTTTAACTTTTACAAATGTATTTTTATGATAAGATACTTGTATTTTTACTCAAGTATCACTTTGAGGTACTTTGTACAACACTGCATCATGGTTGTAATTAGTTTTGACATTTTATGTTTAACTTTGACTAAACACGAAACGTTGTGTTCCTTGTCTCGTTGCTAAAACTGAGCACAGCTAACAAACAATAACAGAGCTCTACGTGGTATTTCCTGCATAGGAACAGCGTTTCAACAGATCGTCTTGTGCTGCGTCCCAGTTGTAGCGGAACCCGACATTCTTCTGGGTTGAAGGCGTTACAGTTTCAAACTTGTCAGAACGTTTGAAAAAACTTTCTATTTTTTTGCTCTGCAACAATAACATTGACAGAAATCGTGCTTTGAGTGTGCAAACAGAGTTAAAACATACTGAGCCCGCGAGGGGACATGGGAGATTTTTTTTTTATTTTGCGTTCCTACGCAATACTATTGCGTTACCTCGCAAAAGTCATTTATCACTGTTGTGCCTTACGGTTTATTAGCAAACTCACATGTTCACCATTAGCGAGTTAGCCTACTGCTTTAATTCAGCTTCAGAATGAGTATATCACACAGACACACATGGAAGTGGCATTAGCATTAGCATGATAGCATTAGCCCTGATGCTATCACCATATATATGTATTAGCTCAGCGCTACACATTCTCCTCTCGTCACTGAGGTCCTCCATCCACATGACAGAGAGG